CCCTTTGGTCAGTTGGGGTCAGCTGTCCCGGCTGTGTCCCCTCCCAACTTCTTGTGCCCCCCCAGCCTACTCGCTGGTGGGGTGGGGTGAGAAGCAGAAAAGGCCTTGACTCTGTGTCAGCACTGCTCAGCAGTAACGAAAACATCCCTGTGTTATCAATCAACACTGCCTCCAGCACAAATCCAAAACGTAGCCCCATCCTAGCTACTGTGAAGAAAATTAACTCTATCCCAGCCAAAACCAGCACACACACGTAGAAATTTTCATATTTTTGGTAATTACCTGTGTATACAGATTTCATGTTCTGTATTTACTAACTATAATTTGGATAGAGAACTAAACTAAGAATGATTACGGAAATACCTTTAACTTCAGTTTCCCAGTTTATTAAACAGAAATATGACTGTATGACAATGAAACAGAAATATGACAGCCCATATAGTCAAAATAACTAGGACTCCCAAGATATATGCAGACAGGTGTAAGTAAAAAAACTAAATAGATTCTTCTATGTCATGTGCTATCAAGGAATTTTTTTATTTTACTCGTTCTCTCACTGTTGTGAGATTATCTTCCCCTTTTTCAAGATGAGAAAATGGAAATAATCGGGAAAATCGCAGAACACTGTAATTCTTGTGGAAAAAAAATTGTATTCACTCTTTTGAACACACAAATAGCTCACCAAAACCAATAAATGTGTAAAGAGCAAGGCCTGATATGAGCAAGAGACAGATTGAGACAGAGTGATGATGCATTTGTACTGTCTCATTCTTCCAGTGAAAGGGATGAATAGATATTTTGTAACAGCAATGAGAAATAATTGCTGCTGCACATAATAAATGTGTCTGAAATAAAAAAAAATGTATTTAATACACTGTGGGTTGTTCTAAAAAGAGGAAAATAAAATACTAGTTGGTTAAAACATTATATAATTTCATTAATTTGAGGACAGATTATAATCTTATTTATAAATCTTGAATAAACCTTCCTCTTAGGATTTGTCTACTCACAGAGTTGCACAGGCAGGAAGGCAACGGGAATAGAAAGTATTTTAAAAGTCAGTAACAATATGCCTATCTCAGCTTGAAAGTTGTAGCAGCATCTTGAATATCACCTAACCAACCTCTAAGGCAAATGTGTTTAGATGAGATAAAACTGATTTTCCTCCTAGAAGAGATACTAGCAGGTGTTAGAAGTGGTCCTGATCAATGCCGTAAGATGCCAGATCCATATTTTTCTTTATGCCATTTAGGCAGATGGTTTGACTCACATTAGTCCTAAGATTTCAGTATTTTAAATTATCAGAAAAGGAAGTGGAATATATAGTCTTGAACTAAGCCCACATAATGACAGGTCATGCATGTTTGGGTTAACTATGTAAATGTTTCCTATTTTGTTTTCTTTCCCCCTCTTTTGAGTGCAGAAGGAACTGGGATCTTACTACTTTCCTGTAATTTAAATGCTGCTGGATTGTAAGCAAGCAGACTGAATAGGTGATACTGTTATTAAAGATAACTTCAGTATGTGATAAATGCCAGATACACTTTAGAAATAGTTGCCAGATGCCCAGTTCCCCAAGCTGGGAATCAGCCTTTCCGAAGTGTGTATGAGCTATACCTAAATACATAGTTTTAAAGAGTAGGTAAACCTGCTCACAAGGTATTCGAGGTCACAATACAAGCACAGCTTCCACATGAAATTATTCTGCATATGAACTTGGAACAAATGAAAGGTGACAGATTGAACGATGTAAGACTGAGGATTATCTGTAGTACAGTTATTGCAGAAATAGCAATGTGAGTTTTCATGTGTTATACCGTTAAGGCTGAACAGCCCATTTTCCATGTTTACAGTTCTCTGACCCTTGGAAATCCTAGCAGAGAAGCAATCAGTATAGTGGATTTTATGACTCAGTATGTGTCTAAAGGAAATAAGACAAACATCCAGACTGATTGTATATTGTGTATCAGACAGTCATCAGCTGGAATGATTGTTCAGCATTCTTCAGGATCTCATTTTGAAACAGTGATTTATAGAGGCAAGATTCTTCTGCCCCTGTGCTGAGTTCTTAAACCATGGGTTCACAATTCTTTTTTTTCCTGTAGACTATTCTCAATCCTTCCCCTTTTACATAAAAACTTCTCCCTTTGGAATTGAAAACACTGTTAAGGCATTATGGTTACATTGTGCAACTGCACACAACTTACCTATCAGGGCCCTCAGGGAACCAACAGGTCTTAATTGTCCTGACCAGCCTCACCTAGGACCGCCACTCACACCCTCTGCTCACTGGTCCAGGAGCCCCACTTAAGCTCAGATATGGGCTTCAGTCCTTTCCTGTTATGCTGGACATAATTCTGCTCCTGGTTGTCTCTCCAGTTCTGTCTGCTGCTGTCATGGACATGGGTTGCTGTTGTAGCCTTGTCTCCTGACTGGACTTCCAGGGTGGACCCCAGACCTGAATTGTTACCTTCCTTTGTCTAAAGGATGACTGGCTGTCAGCGGAATCCGTCACTACCACCAACCTTGTCATGTTCCAATACTGTGGCCTGGTTGGTGAGGGCACTGCCTGTGCTTTCATTACCTTTGGCTCCTTGTTTCTCTTCCCTCCTGGAGTAGCCACACTCTTTTTGCTCCCTGACCATTTCTTTGTGGATTGTTAATGGTGCATAGGCCAAAATTTATGAGCCATAGACCCAACCCATCCCATTCTCCTGGCCACAGAACTTGGTGTAAAAACATGGATTCCAGTAGAGTTTGCATCACCACAGAATTTGCATGTGTGTTTTTCACTCCAAAGTTTTCAAGTGTATCTGGCAACAGTACCTTAAAGGTTACTCACCTTACTTTGGATCTTTTGAGCCTGGAATGCTGGATTACTCTTCGTACTGTCATGTGTGTTCTGTAGTTCAAACCAAAAATACATTATTTCATTTCAGAGACAGATTTTCAAGTACTCAGCAAAAAATATTAGGTATTTACCAAAAATGACTCTTGAATATTCATCTAGAGTAACAAATACGATCATAGGGGTCGTATTTTGGAATTGTTATATCCACAAAAACTTGCTACGTACACCCAACCTAGTGGGAATATTTCATATCAGATGACCATACAAAGATAGGTCCAAATATTGACTAAAATTTATTGACTAAAATAATGCTAAAAAAGTAACAGTGATGTTTTGTTTGACTATGAAATATTACCTATATATATATGAATATATTCAGCTCTTAACTGAAATAGATATTGGGAAGACAAAATACGGTGTCAAAGCACACTTCATGAAATTATTAAATACTGGTAGAATTCTACTGATGGTTATTAATTTAATTTTATGGTGTTAGCTATAGATACTGATGTAAAAGTGTCTGGTATCATGGGGATGAACAGAGTGAATAGAATATGCAGACGTGATGCTGAAATGAATATATTACATACAGAGTTTGGTGACATAGTTGTGAACTGGGAATCAACCAAATCAAGAATTCTGTATGAATGGGACCGTTATTCCCTCAGCTTGGCTGCTCTGTGGCATAAAAGTTAATGGAAAAATAATATGTGGGTTTAGAGAAATATTGCCGGTTTGGAGACTTGTTGGAGTAGTGTCACAGGAAGGCTGCTTGTCTCAAAATTAGGAGAATAATAAAGCAGCACCAGAAGTATAAGAAAAGGGGGTTGTGCATTATGCATCCAAAGAGGCAAATGTTAGTATATGCACATGAAATGACAGTACAGCTATAAATGATAGCACATAATTCCTAACCCCAAATAAACAAAACTTTTCAAATACTTTGAGATATCTTTAAATACTCCAGTCATTTTTCATCTTCGTACTGGGGGATTTTTAGGTAATGAAGTATTTTGTAGCATACCTCTCCCTTTTCAGGCTTCATGGTTGCACACCTGAACTGGTTAGCATTTGCTTTCAGGAGCAGATCCTAAAATTAAAGCAATTAGCTTAAAGATTATGGTACATTTAAATTCTCTAAGAAGAATTTTCTGTCTTGAAAAGCCTTGCAGCCCAGACCAGTATATTAATTTGTTTCCAATGAATGAAAGCTTGACTTAGTATTTGTAAGAATTTTCATTCCTGATTAAAGACTTGAATTAGGCAAGTCTTGGTTTTCTACGTAGTTCCCTCCGGTTGTATCCTTTGCATAGGGCATCAGGCCTTTGATAGGTCTGCCCTTCTGAAACATGTTGCTCATCCAGAATTCAACTTAAAAGCCTCATAATTATCTATGGCACATCAGTACCTGTCCTGGTTTCGGCAGGGATAGAGTTAATTTCCTTCCTAGTAGCTGGCACAGTGCTGTGTTTGGGATTTAGGATGAGAACAATGTTGATAACACACCGATGTTTTAGTTGTTGCTAGGTAATGCTTACACTAGCCAAGGACTTTTCAGCTTCCCATGCTCTACCGACTGAGAAGGCTGGAGGTGCACAAGAAGCTGGGAGGGGGCACAGCCAAACTGGCCAAAGGGACATTCCATACCGTGGGACATCATGCTCAGTACATAAACTGGGGAAAGCTGGCCGGGGGGTGAGCAATTGTACTGTGCATCGCTTGCTTTGTGTATTATTGTTATCATTTTATTTCAATTATTAAACTGTTTTTATCTCAACCCACGAGTTTTTCTCACTTGTGCTTTTCCAATTCTCTCCCCCATCCCACCGGGGGCAGGGGGGGGAGCGAGCGAGCGGCTGCGTGGTGCTCAGTTACCGACTGAGGTTAAACCACGACAGTACCATAGGTAGTAACTGTTTCCACATTGCTAACAAGCAATGGCTTTGTTTTTGAGTTGAATTAGAAGACTATGATCAGGGGATTTGAGCAGCGAGGGTTGCTCCACTAGGCACACCACTAACAGTAATTCCACCCGTCATTTTAAAGGGGGAAGTACAGGCAGCCACATTTCTAGTTTCTGGATATTTCTTTTGGTTGTAAATAGTAATCTCTAACCAAAGCTGTGAAACACAGACTAGATTTTCTAATGGCTTTCTGGACAGCAGCTGTCCATAACATCAGCACTTCCATAACTGTCTAGAGTATGGGTTTTAGTGTTCTCACTCCTTCTTACAGATGCTCAGACACGGTACTTATAATGACAGCTATAGCGTCTGCAAAAATGCTGTGGAACAAATGGCATTTTTAATGCATATTTCTTTTAGGACCCAACATTTCAGCTTGTTTAGCAAACAGTCTAGGGAACTGACCTTTGTGAATGCTTTGGATGCCTTTTATAACATTCCAGAGGCAACAAAAACTGCTGTTATTGCAGCTATAATTTCTGTGGTGGTTTTCCTTTGTTCCTTGTATTCATGCATTTTCTCCACTGAAGAATGTGGCTGGTAGTTACATAATTTTATAGTTGCCATAGATTTTTGACAATATAGGCACTGTGATATCTTGCTTTTCCTCCCCAGTTCTTCTGGGAAGTTTGTACGTAGAAATAAGCACACAGACAAATAGGCATGTGCTTTCTTCACAATATGGAAATAATAAAAGGATAAAAAATAATGTTGTATTGTTTTATAATGAAATACCAAGCATAGGTAATGTGATGGGCCAGCAAAAGGAATGCAAAGTTTATCCCCCTAGAATCTATCACACATTAAAGCATTTACTATAGTTTAGGAACAGAATCCAATGTCCCTTTCACAAGGACAAGAGGAGAGCCCAGAACAGTGATAAATGACCTCGTACTGGCTAGTGAAAGCTAGAGTAAGGCATTTGCAGAATGGGGGTGGGAGAGTGCAGATAAAAAGGAGTCAGACAGCGTGCCTTTTATCAAGCTTATACTCTTATTCAATTGGGTATGGTGATTGCAGTGTGGGGGGGAAGAAAGAAAGTGGAAACTGACATTTAATTAATTCCCTTCCAAGGAGGAGACGACAACAATCTGCTTTAACTATGATAGGAGCTAACTCATTGAACAGGACTCCTATCAAAGTTTGGATCAAATAACTAGGTCTGTTTCTTTGTTTTTCCGGGCTCTCCATTCTCCTGCTCTCTTAACACACAGACCAGGTACTCTGCTTCTTTACAAATCATGATGACTTCCCACTCTCTCAGCCTGCTGAAGGAAAGAGTATGGAGTCTGCACAAAAAAGAAGTCAGAGTCTGCTGATATTTTAAAACAGTGGGTGATGTTATCAGTTACTGTAGAAAACAAAAATATTGAACATATTTCTTATTTTGAAGCCTTAATTATTAAGTGAATACCTTAAATATCCACATGTCCTGTGGGAGTAAAAGAGCCATCAAACTATTTCAAGCTTGTGAAGAGAAGAAAGTAATCATGTTTCTGCTACCTAACATGGCTACTTGCATAATTTCTCACATAGTACTTGTACAGTGAATAAAAGGTGGACCTTGTCTCAGACAATTAATAATAAAATAAGGAAGATGGAAAAAGGGTGATACAACAGAATAGATACAAACTTCATGACTCTAGAGAAAGAGCCAGGAGCTGTTAGGTGCAAAAGCAAATATGTTTCAGACAAAGTTCTAAGATTTGTGAAAACAGAACATCACAGAAGAAATATTTTAGAAGAAAGGAAAGACTAGAACAAGAACATCATACACTTACTTCTGCTTTTCGGCGATTTTTTGTTTTGATTTCCTCTAGTTGCTTTTTTTCCTTTGGAGGTTTGTAGGTGCTTGGAGGAACCTATATTAAAAGGCAATAATCTCCACAATATGGGGTATAAAACATTCCAAGTGACACATTCTTGCAGGAAAAAAACACAATCACTTTTACTGTAGAACAGCTGCAGTTATTTTTTAACTACTGATTCTTTTCTACTAGTGTCGGTGTAGAAGAAGTTGCCAAAAGGGGAAAAGTTCTGTTTGGCATCTCATAAACTTCATCTTCACAGCACTGACAGCCAGACAGGGCAGCTGAATAAAGTTAAGCTGTGGAGCTCGTTGGCACAGTGTGTGGTAGTAGCAGCAAGTTACAGAGACTCCACAGAAGTTTAGGGAATATTAAATACTCAGGAACTTCATTGTAACTAAGGAAGTCTTTGAGCTGAAATGGTGGGAGACTGAGAAGGCAGTTGGAGAAAGCAGCAGCTGTGCTTGTCCTGTCCCTGTAGTCTTCCTAGACATCTGTGTTTGGCCACTGCTGGAGAAAATACACCGGGCAAAATGGGCCTTTGCTCTGATTTACTGTGGCTGCCCTAGTGTCCTTGTAAGGGAATACCACTGGAGGTGTAGATTAAATGTTTGGAGGTAGAGGACTGAGAGGGCCTTCCTAGCGTTAGTCAAAGATTCGGGAAAGCATTCACATGTCAGAAAGTGCTACAGACAAAATGACCAGAAAAGATTTATAGTCTGGCTGTCATATGGATCAGCTGGAGACTAGGGACTGTGTGCTTTTGAGTTAGGCTGAAACTTGTGGGGGATTTCAATATTTGTTTGAGCAGTAAATTTTGCCCAGAAGCAAACTCTGAAAAAAGACTGAATGTCTCCTTCCTATGTGGGTGAGATAGTCTGCCAGTTTACTGGCCATCTGCTTAAATATTTATCTTGCTAAAAATGTTCTAGCTCAATTAGAAGTTATAGAATTAATTCAAGAATTAATGGGAAAAATCTATAATCTGTATTGTACTGGAGGTCAGTTTAGGCAACATGGGGATCCCATCTAGTTTTACTGGACTATATAAAGAGCTGTACTTTGAAAAACTCATGAATCTGATGTACTTTCCACTGCCTTTGCTATTTGACATCATTATCTACAGGCAAAACAAATGCACAAACAGAAGAAGCTAGCAATTAAATGCACTGGTGAGACTGCTCAAGTATTTTTGTGAGCTTTTTAAGTGAAGTAGAACTGAAAGTATTTCCCAGCAGTATCTAAGAATTTTTATTAGGCTTTTATGGATGGAGAAATTAAACCCAGAGGATTTGCAAAGGGTTGCACAGGCAGTGAGTATCAGTTTATTTCACTCTTCTTCTTAGTCATGTGCTTTACCTGCAAAACTGTACTCATCTGCCAGTGTAAGCTGAAAATCTCTCCTCAGAAACTGCTGTGCTTATTCCAAGTAATTTAAGGAGGAGACGTTTCAATCAATCAATCAGCTCTATTTCAAAAATGATAATAGCCTTGTAATTTAGCCCTCAGATATCATGGTGATGAGTACCAATCAGACAGACAGAAAGACAATACAGCAATTACCCAGTTGCCGGAAGAGGATGAATAAGTCACTGTAAGTAAGTGCAAATTCCAGCAATAGAGAGCTCAAAAAGGCCAAAGTGTACCTGCTTAATCCTAATGTGAAAAAAAGGGGGCTGTGGGTAAGAGACACCAAGGAGGGTGCACAGCAAGCTCACTGCCCTGGAGTTCAGGAGAGCAGACTTCGGCCTCTTCAGGGATCTGCTTGGCGGAGTGCCATGGGACAAAGCCCTGGAGGGAAGAGGGGCCCGAGAAAGCTGGGTAATATTCAAGGATCACCTCCTCCAAGCTCAGGAGCGATGCATCCCAACAATGAGGAAGTCAGGCAAGAATGCCAGGAGGCCTGCATGGATGAACAAGGAGCTCCTGGACAAACTCAAACACAAAAAGGAAGCCTACAGAGGGTGGAAGCAAGGGCAGGTAGCCTGGGAGGAATACAGAGCAATTGTCCAAGCAGCCAGGGATCAGGTTAGGAAAGCTAAAGCCCTGATAGAATTAAATCTGGCCAGGGATGTCAAGGGTAACAAGAAAAGACTCTATAGGAACGTTAGGGATAAAAGGAAGATAAGGGAAAATGTGGTCCCTCTCCGGAATGGACCGGGAGACGTGGTTACCTGGGATACGGAGAAGGTGGAGGTGCTCAATGACTTTTTTGCCTCGGTCTTCACCGGCAAGTGCTCAAGCCACACTGCCCAAAGCTGCAGAAGGCAAAGGCAGGGACTGGGAGAATGAGGAGCT